ACATGAAAACTAATTCCGTCACAACTTGAATTGGACACACACAGATCGTTCCAAGCTATGTACAAAAATTAAAATTTGCTTGATTAAAAGCTTAATAGTTGTTAATTAAAAGCGTAATTAAGTAGTGTTCAATATTTATTAGTGTTCTAATTCAAAGCCGTGTTGTATTCCAATACAGCTCACACAGCAAACGGAATTTGAACACGTGGATGACGGCATTACGTATCAGTAGAATTTGAAGCGCGGACGGAATACGCTTCACCACGTGCCAAATATTGCCACACACAGTGACGGAATATAGGGATTTGGTAGGTTTGCATTCTAAAGGCTTTTACATAAATATGGCAACATTTTGTGACGTTTCATTGTTGCCGACGCGTACTATGGTGTTTTGAGAGTCACCTGAAGCAAACGGAACTTGAGTAACGCATACGGTTATTTTTTTATAGTTTTTCATTTCTCGATGCGTCCTTAATGTGACGGAATATACCGCATTTACCCTAGTCATATCTTGTTCTATCCATGGTTCCAAGGCATACTTTTTTCAGACTCATTCTCAAATTTGTTTTTCAGTCCTATAAGTAGACCAGCTAAGAATCATGGATACCAGCATTAGTATAGTCAGATGGGGTAAGACAGGACCAAAATCACTAACAAGCCTGTAGCATCTGTACCATGAATAACTAAAAAACCCTAAACCTATCACAAGGTGTAGTTATGCAATACGCCTCTAAGCTACAACTCAGACATTTTGCATCTAACATAGTTTTCTGTACAGATTGAAAAAAGTGAGCTGGTCCCATCTTACCCCATTGGGGTAAGATGGGACCAGGCTGGGGTAAGAAAGGACCAACTGGTAATTCTTATGTTGCAAGGTTTTCAATAAAAGTACAAATCTGATATTCAATATTATTCATCTAGAAACTCATTATTTGATTAAACAACCACTTGTTACTGTTATGTGTGGTGGGAAGTCAACTCTAATATCAGTCACATTGAAGTCTTTGTCACGAGAAAACTTTGTTAAGCATAGTAATAGTGGGTTGGCTTTGGTGCATTGTAGAGCACTGCTAAATGCTTCATGTATATTCCATTAGTGTAATTATCTGAAAAATTTATCAAATTGGTAATAAAACCAATGGATAATAACTTATCCAAGTGTCAGACGTCATTGTTTTCTTGCTAACTGCATTTGTGGTGTACTTCTTCAAACATAGCTCATGCCCTCTCACAGAGTTGTGTTCATAATTATTTTTCATGTTTCACACAGTGATTTTTCCCCCAGCCAATCTTCACACAGTTCTGCAGCTCACTAATGGGAATAGACATCCCAATTTTATATATCCCTTTGATGCAATTTAAAATAGTGCACTAAATTTCTCTAATTAAAAAAGCTAACAAGTTATAATGAAGTTTCAGCATAAGATAAAAATTTTGACCAAAATACTCCATGTACTACACGATAATACATGATAATATATTCATTTAAAAACTATTTTTGATAAACTGTAGGGTAGTAGAGGACCATTTGTGGGGTAAGACAGGAAAATTTGTGAGGTAAGATAGGACCACTTGTGAAACAGGAAACAGGATCATTTAGTGGTCCCGTCTTACCCATGTCCGGTCCTTTTTTACTCCATTTTAGAATACATGTCAGGCAGTGATGGTAGCAGGTAGGAATGCCTAATATGTCTAAAAAGTTGCCTATTATTTGAGGTTACCTGCCTACATCCACAAAACTGGCAAAAAAATTTTTTGCCATTAGACAGAGCTTATTTCCCAAACAGGGTTAACTATTTTGTGACCCTTCTTTACATAGGTTTTCTTTGAAAATTAGCCAGAAATTCATTATTTGCAGAGGTGGGTTGAAACAAGCACTGAAATGACAGGCATGGATTGCTCTAACATATTCTTTTGTCAAATTAAATTCAGTGCAATTAGAATGCATGCCATGGGCCGGTCCTTTCTTACCCCATGAAGGCTGCGATCCTGTCTTACCCCATTTGACTGTCTTACCCCATATAGATAAGATATTGGTTTAAATCTTGATTCCTTGTTTGTTGTGTTGTATCCTGCCTTGTTTGACTACAGGCCTTCTATATTTAAATTTATCTCCATATCATTCCTAATTCTTAACTGGACTGAAGCTATGTCATTGGTTGTGTCTTGCCTTGTTTAACTACAGAGTACAGACCTTCTACTTTCATATTAGTCTCCATATCATTCCTAATTCCAAATATTCAACATTTTTATCCAAAAATATAGACCTAGATTTCTATTCACTGGCATTTGGTGATCTATATATAGAAAATATGACTGTACATAATAGTTTCATATCAGTCAAGGATTCCATAGAAGTACTTTTGAGTTCTGAATAGATTTACCACTAGACACAACTGAGGGTTATGAACTCTGAATGTCTGGTAAGAAGGATAGATTTGTTGGCATCTAACAAAGTCTTATTTAGTAATGTATCTTATTTCCTATAAGTTCTAAAATACTTGTATTAAAGCTAATTTTATAAACTTCTTTTTAAAATTTTTCTTACTTTATTTATTCTAGACCCAATTCCTGTGGTGAAGCAGCTCTGTCATTGACGTGCATAATGGCAAGTCTGTACTATTCCTCTGAGAGTTCTGATAGTGATGGTGGTATAGATAGAAAGTCATTAGATTTATCCTATTTAATGCTTGACTCAGACTCTCTATCAAGCTACTTGAGGAACAGTGTCCAGGAGCAAAGCTCTGCATACCAACACCAAGGCTCAAGATTGACTTCTATCTCAGCAATTGGAAATCAAACCAATGAAGATGATGATGGCAGTCAACAAGAAGAGAGGATAAAGTTACAGAAGCAAATGGAAAGTTTGACAACAGAAGCAATGGGCCAAGATTTTTCAAAATTAAATTCTACAACAAAAAAAGCTCCCAGTCTTCCTAATAGAGGTTTAGAGAGGGCTATTTCTCTGCTACCATTTGTTGTGCAAGACCCTGATGAGAATGATGGCAGCGAGCCTAAAACTCTCATGCAGGATAATATAACTGAAAAGTTGTTTCTCAACCACAATATCATATTATCAGTACCATATGAAATTGTGTTTTTCCATAAACTGAAAAGTTTAGATTTATCTAATAATAATCTCAGTCATATAAATGACTTCATTCTGCACTTGCCTGAACTGCAGTCTTTGCATCTCAAGAACAACAATTTAGATAGCTATGGTCTTCCCAAAGAGTTGGCAGTTCTAAGCAAACTGCGTGAAATCAACCTCAGTGGCAACCAGCTTACCACAGTGCCGCCTCAACTTTTTGAAGTGAGCTCTTTGAAGTACTTGTATCTTGGCAACAACAATATATCTGAAGTGCAACCTGAGATCAAGGCTTTACAGAAGTAAGTTTCTTTCAAATTGTACATAAAACAAGTTATAACAATATTTCCATGTGTAATATGTCCTCAATGACCGAGAAAATTGCACATCTATTCACAATTTGGAGTTTTAAAATTACTTGATTATTTAAGATACTACGTACATTTCATTGCTAAATGTTCACAGTTAATTTAATTTTCATCCAGTAAGTTTGAAGTGCATTTGAGTAGTTGTGTTCAATGACTTGCAAGTGATAACATAATACAAATATTTTAGCCTTCATATAATATTCATATAATATTCATTTATCTTGCTGATATTCACATCTTACCTTTGTACAGTTTGCAGGTGCTACACCTGGGAAGCAACAACCTGACTATGGTTCCTGAAGAGCTGGGAGCCCTGAGCAGCTTGTGTGCTCTGGTGCTTTGCAACAACAAATTACGACGACTGCCCCAAGCCATCAGCCGCCTCACCAGCCTGCGCTCCCTCCTCCTCCACAACAACAACCTCTGCTGCCTGCCTGTGGAAATTGTCAAGCTTCGGGGCTTAAATGAGGTGCAGCAGATGGAAATCTTGAATTTTTCTAGAACACATAGTTGCACTGCTTGCAGTGCACTTTAATACACAGACATGTATAATACTTAGAGGTAAAATTTCACCATTGTTCTTATCTAGATCCACAAATATAAACTTCATCACATCATTTTCCAATATAATTACATTATTTATATTTTATTTTAATTTTGCACTTCTATCCTTTTCAATTTCTATTAGTAACCCATTAAGTGCGACACCACTCACTGGTGGGTTGTACCACTGTTTTGAAATATACTCTGAAAACAACATAGCGTAACTTAATTAATGTGTTGAGATATATTCATATATGATGTTAAGTTTTGTTCTGTCAATTTAATGTATTAGTCGTTTCATTTCTATGGTAGACTATCTGGCATGCCACTAATGAACAGCATCCATAACCCTTGTAGCAAGTTCAATGTTCAGGTAAATAGGGAAATTTTTCTATATATAAATTCTCCACGCTTACATTTCATTGTCTGCATGCTATGTGTCTACAAATCCGTCCTTTCATTCGCCATCATGAACCAAGACTTGGTTTATGATAGCAAATCAAGATTTGGTTCACTATTCTGAACCAAAAAATGACTTCATAAATAAGTGGGTGATTGTGTATAGCTGCTGCAACACGATTTTAGATGTTTTGCGAGCATTGAATTTCGTATTGAAAATATCCTAGTTGTTCAGAAAATGTATTTTCCAGTTGAGCCTGCGCGACAACCCGCTAGTGACGAGGTTTGTCAACCTGTGTGCCAAGGACCTGATATACACACCACCATCCCTGAAGGAGCTCGCCGCTAGGAGCGTCCAGCTCAACCGCATCACTTACTCTGCATCAGACTTGCCTGTGCACCTGCACAACTACCTTCTCTCGGGACACAAATGTGTTAACCCTAAGTGCAAAGGTATGCATCTTGAATTGTAATCGAGAAAGCTTGCTCTCTCAACCTGATTTTAATAGAGCATGACTTGAAATTTTTGGGTAACGATTGTTGCATCTCTGGTATTCTAATATTTTACAGATACTCAGTGTCTTGTTCAGTGGTTTCTCAGTTGTCTTGTTCAGTGGATAATTTGAGAGCATGCGCACAAATACCAACAATTGTCCTCAAAACTTATGACTATCCATTCAGCCTTGTTGTTTCATCAATTTGAAAGTTTTACTTCAGATCTTGAATTTTTTTTATTATACCGTATGTATTATATATCACTTTAAAAAATGCTGGTGCTTGCGTCTTGCAATGTGATCAACAAAAATGTTTATATCTGAAATAGTACGCAACATAATTTCGTTTTACAACTGTACAAAAATAAATGGTTATCCAAGATTTTTTGCCAAATTTATCCTGTAAATTGCGATTGTTTACTTTTAATACGTATATGATTGTAAAATGGATCATGTCCTACTTCAGTACAAAGTGAGCCGCGAGGCAGGAAATGCTCGGTTGTGCCAGCAGATCGCAGAATGTGTGTTGCTGTCGCCATGATTAGTTGCTTTGTAGATTGTAAATTAATTTGTACTGCTGCTTTTTGGGTAAGTAGGGAAAGAATTGCTCTCTTGTTTTGAATTTTTCCTAATTTCATAGATGTCTCTTTTGCTGGGATATTTTAGCTTGAAACTTATTCATATACTTTTTCATGGCTAGTATAACTGATTCGCATCATCCCGTCATCAAGCTGCAGTTCATCTAAATTTATCTTGAATTGTTTTTACTTTTATATTAATTATTATCACCTCAATATTTTAATAGTGTGTTGTTCTGGCAAAACTAAATTGAACATTGATTTACACTTATGACATATTCAGCATCGCATCAGTTGAGGGTAGTGTGCATTATATCTCATGATTACAAACAATAATTTTATGTTTTTTTTAGAATAATTGCTATAGTTTTACAATTTATTTGAATAAGTGGCTATTGAAGTTATGTAAACTTGCTGAATGCGTTCATGAGAGCAGAAAGATTATGAAGGCCTGCTCTCAATCATGGCATTTCTCCATTGTCTTGTAATATAAGTATTGAGCATATTGTACAATCATGCATTGTGGCAGGTGTTTACTTCTCGTCCTGCGTGGAGCACATCAAGTTCGTAGACTTCTGCGGCATGTACCGCGTGCCTCTGATGCACTATCTCTGCTCCTCGCGCTGCACCTCACAGACGCCCTCCGCCTACTACACGCGACGCCTCTCCTCCAGCGACAGCGAGGACGACAGAGCGCCGGACACCACCATGCGCCGAGTCTTGCTCGGTTAATTGTTTGCAGCCCATAAGCTTTGATAAATTGTGTGGTGGCAACGAAGGTTGACGAGTCTTGCTCGGTTAATTGTCTGCAGCCCATAAGCTTTGATAAATTGTGTGGTGGCAACGGAGGTTGACGAGTCTTGCTCGGTTGTCTGCAGCCCATAAGTTTTGATAAATTGTGTGGTGGCAACGGAGGTTGACGAGTCTTGCTTGGTTAATTGTCTGCAGCCCATAAGCTTTGATAAATTGTGTGGTGGCAACGAAGGTTGACGAGTCTTGCTCGGTTGTCTGCAGCCCATAAGCTTTGATAAATTGTGTGGTGGCAACGAAGGTTGACGAGTCTTGCTCGGTTAATTGTTTGCAACCCATAAGCTTTGATAAATTGTGTGGTGGCAACGGAGGTTGACGAGTATTGCTCGGTTAATTGTCTGCAGCCCATAAGCCTTGATAAATTGTGTGGTGGCAACGAAGGTTGACGAGTCTTGCTCGGTTAATTAATCATCTGCAACCCAAGAACTATACAGCTTTGATCAAATATTTGTTAGCAATATAAATTGGTGGTCTATCACGAACGTTTTCAGTTGAGAATTTATTTCAACTCAATAGTAGAGTAAGTTTGCTTTGTGTGCTGGATCACACCATTTGATTTGTTGGCTCGGGTGTTTGAATAACTGTGAGGCAGGTTCTTATGTTAACGATTTTCTGTTTTTTTTTTTTAATGTTGAATTTTGTGGTAAAAATACTTTCACAGATTCCTGGCACTTTATCACAGTGATTAAAACAAATTCGACTACATATCACTTCATTGATAGTGATCTTGAAAGGCTGAATCCCAACATAGTATCTATTTCTTTATCACACTTAGTTTCCATTTTAGAGCATAACCTTATTATGTGACACGCTGTTTGAACCAAAGTGACTTTGGTTCAAAACTTGTGCTAGCGTGTGAAGAATCTGAAATTATGAAGTATATAGTATAGCGACATTTTTTACTCAATACTAGCTCTCAATACTCGCTCTTAATACCTATTACTCATTACTCACTTTTAATACCTACCTTGCTATTGAAGAAAAAACACAACCTCGTGTAACCTACATTCATGCTTAAGGGAGAAGTTGCTGATCTACAAGCTTCCTGCGCGTGAATATCTGTTCATTCGTGTCGCGCTTCATTCGGTTGTCTGTTTAGTTGTGCTATTGAAGTTCATAATGCTATCAAAATAATAATAATAATAATGGCTATCAAAAAATGTATTATGGCTATATCGTTTGAAATTGACTATACCCTCATTTTTGCTTATTTTTATTTAGATCAACTCATAAAGTCTGATAGTCACTATCATAAATTAGTTGACCTATTACAAGTTTAAGCCAATTAGATTGCACTTGAAAATTAATCAATTTTGTTATTTGGAGTAATACTTATGAAAGGCTCTACCTGTAGCTATCTCCGATAAGTTTCTCTTCATGACAATCTGGGGAGCGAGTATCACATTCATCCATCCCGCTATGTCACTAATCTTTCTCAAATATATTTTCCAGTGAACTGGTGCCCTACTCCCAAGAAATTTACTTAGACTATTCAGTTAAGTATCGTCATAAGGTTTAGAAACTAGGTACCTTTTCTTCTGACAATTCGACATGTTCCCTCCATTTATTTTTTATGTTGAGGGGCTGGCATGCATAATCTTTCTCTCTATATTCATATTTTTCATCAACATTAGTCCTCGGATTTTACCATTAATTTTCGATAGGATGAACTCTAACTTACTAACATGTTATTATTTTTGATTTGGATTCCGTATGTGGAATATTCTTACCTCCTAATGATCGTTAAGTTTTAAATAACAAGATTAATAAGATCGTTTCAGTAACCAGTTAACCAGGTTTTCCGTGCTCGAGTCTGGAGTGATGTACTGTGTTGCAAGCTCACCCAAGTCCCATTGCTTCTTTCATAATTTTATTCATCGCTGAGACTTGCAGCCCTCGTCAGGCGAGTATGCCAGAGAATTCTGATACTTTCATTGTTCAGCATAGTTCCTCAATAACGCAAGGGAAACCTGTCAACTGACTGATAGAAATGTACCTATTATCCGTAATTACCAGCATTGTCAAGAATAAAGCTGTTGTACTCAATTGTGATGTTGAACGTACGTGCGCTTACGTTCATTTTTTAGCCAATATCTAGATCTAATGCGAGATGGTTTATAAAGGTTAATGTCTTCTAGTTCCTTGATTTTTCTGCCAATACTCAACTGCTCGTTACGTTCACTTGTTCTGAATTTCTTTCTTGTATGCTTCATTATAACTAGACATTAGCCATCAAATTAAATAATTACTTTTCTAGTAGCCGTCATACGCTTTTTTTTGCCTAATCAATGCACCTCGCTTTCAGGTTTTAATCATTACATTCTGTATATATAGTTAATGTTTTAGAACACTAAATAAAACTTATATTCACCTACTTTTAAGACTTTAAACTTGTATTCACGAGTAATTTAACGAGCCGTTCTGGTATATTGTGCATGTTCATACGATGGTTAAGTGGATAACTGCTTCAGAAAATACTGTGCCTTACCATATGTCGCTTGCAGGAATAACAGAGCTAAGTAAGTTCCACTCATACGCTGTCATTGTCACTAGCCGAGCTGTTAATGTATTTAACGCGTTACTTGTTTCCATGCTGATGCCGTCAACCATTACGACCCTTCACCCCTTACAGGAGTTGATACTTCACAGCATCTGCAATTGCGACTAGATTTGAAAACATTGACAATAAAAAATTTTTTTGGTTGATTCAAATTTTGCTAACTTTCATTATGATATTAATATTTAATTTCATTGCCGTGTGTATGTCACTAAGATGGATCTTCTCCATAGTCCTACATATATTTACTTCTCTAACCAAGTGCCAAACAAGTAACATCATTTGGGATGTTCACCTAATCAGGAAATTAGTTGACGGATTTTGAAATGATTTCACCCGACCATAGCTGCATTCATCATTGTCTTGTGCTGGCAGTGGTGTTGAAGTGTGTTATTTGTGTTGTCTTGAGTATTGGCACGGTCTGTACTGCTGGCGTCATGTTCGTATCTTTTTGCTGCTCGCTTTTCTGGGCCTTCCTATGAGGAGGGGCCGTTTGTTGCTCTTTATATAACCCTCACGTAGCAATGTATTTGAGATTATTTACTACGTATTATTAATGCTTTTTGCTGAGAGTTTTATTAGGATTACTTTATACGACAATACATTATCGAACTGTTATGAGACACGTTTTATCGTTATACCTGAAACCATAGTTCATAAGGTGTGATGGCTATTCTGTGTGCGGTCATTTTAAACGTTTTCTTTTACGCGTAGTTTTTTTTTCTAAAAAAAATAGGGTTATTTGGGTGCCTTGATTAACAAGAGTATATTTTTTCTGATTTACTTTGCTAGAAGCGAGAGGTTTCGATAGAGATTTCAATTAAAAACCATAGCTTTCATAGAACGACTGAAAACTGATGTTAGCAGTTTGCTCGGCTTTAGAGATTCCTCAATACGGCCACATAACTGTAATCTAGTTGGTAATCAATAGATGTTGCAGCGAGGAACTCCTGCGGACATGATTGTGAAGGAACGAGAATATATTGAAAAGTAAAATTATGAATCGGCAATACTCTTCACTTGTGGTATACCGAACTAAGATTTAGGGGGTAACTGAAGGATATATTGCAAAGTTAGTTCCCACATATGTCAGTGGTAGTCTACAGCAATTAATTTTTAGAAAACACGATTCTCGCGGTGACTTGAGTTTACGCCAGTAATGAAAGAATGAGGCTTGAGCTTCTACAATTCAGGACAAGGTGACTCCATGGTTACAGACCCGAGTCCCAACTTCCTGTGACAGTTCTGGTCCAAATATGCCAGTTGGCCAGGAGGTTGACCATCAAGAGCCGTTTCGAAATCCAAGCAAACTGTAAAAATACTGCGATGGGAGTAATCGACGGAAGGCCAAAATTGGCTTTACGAACGCTAACATCTCTAACGATTACTTATTCTCTGCTGCGCCTGCAATGGGAAGGGGCCTCATCTCAGGAGGTTTTCAAGCATTACATACATTATTTAAGTTAATCAAGAAGGTGAGCACGGACACCAGTATGATTAGTACATTCCAAAAGAAGATAGCGAATAATTTTTGCAGAGCTAAAAATGCAGAGGCTAGCTATGACGAAGCCGGCATGACTTGCCTACCATCAATCTCTGCCCCCCCCCCCGCGTCTACGTAGATGCGGCCCCCGATCTCTGCCGCGTCTACGTCGTGGGGGTACCCTGGCCTGCGCGTCGGCCGGTTACCCGGCATTCGCGTGGCAGAACGGCAGAGGCCCCCCCGCCCGGATCGCTACCGGACGGAGACTCCTTCACTTTTTCTGCTAAGGGCAAGGGAACCTCGGCCTCCTCTTTCCCCTACCCACATCTTTGGCCGCCTATCGTCCTTGGGGCTCCTTGTGCCCTGCTCTCCTCCCATCTCTTCTTCCTGCTCGTTCTTCTTCTCCTGACCCAGGGTATACACCCCAACCCTGGCCTGCACCCCCCCTGCTCGGTCTGCTCCCTACCAGTCACGTGGCGTGGACATTCGTTCTGGTGCACCGGGTGCAGTGCCTATATCCAGAAGCGATGCTCCGGCCTGCGCTACATTAGACTCTACACCGAAGATTGGATCTGCCCTACGTGCAGACGGTCTGTCCCGTCCCCAGCCAGACCCTCCTCCCCCTCCCCCCCCCGACCTCC